GAAAACCCTAAGACATGCAGTTCTGCTCTGCACACGAGGAGTCATCCTGAGTTGGACTTGACTTGGCAACAGCAATGAATAATGGCAATAAATGTTCCATGTAAAATTCAGAATTTCAGGTTGTATAGTAGGTTGAACGTTAGGCGATCAACTATAAGGTTGTCAGTTCAAAAGTACCAGTCTCTCTGACCCATAGAGTCAGAAGCACTTCATGGCAGTGAGTTTGAGATTTGGGGGTTGAGTCTCTCTGCAATAGAAAGATGAGTCTGTTTGCTCCCCTAAAGATTTATGGTCTTGGAAACCCTGAGAAAAAGTTCTACTCTGTCTCATAGGTTGCTATGACTCAGAATATTAATTCAGTGACAATGGTTTGATCTAATATAAACAGAAAGTTCTATTAACTTCATTAATATCATCTCACATATGAGAAAATAAAGAGTCTATGTAGATTAGTAAATTGTTCTGATCTCGTAATTTATAATGTCAGAGCCTAGTTAGAATGCACCGTCTTTAGTTATTACGCAGTGAGCACATTCACTTTCTTAAGGAAGGCCCATTTCTTAATCTGAGTGAAAACTGACATAAGAAGATCACTATGAAGGGTCCTTTATGTTCACGTTACTCATGGATTTGAAATGAATTTAAAGGTTCTCAATGGTAGTCAATCAAAATGTAGTTTCTTTGGAAGTTATTTCTTCTTGACCAATGTCCTTAATTAAAAGGTTTTTGTATTTTTCATGAGTGAGCTAGACTATTACTGCTTAATAGAAGGATAGATAGATAGATAGATGGATAGATAGATATTCCGTTAGTCTCAAGGTTGGCAAACTTTTGAGATGGAAGAGCCAATCCTGTCCCTCAGAACAATTGAGCTTAAATATATTTTTAAAAACGATGAAATCACCATTGTCTGAATAATACCCTTTAACTTTTTTGTCAATTTTACTTCAGAGCCACATGTAGCTCATGAGTTGCAATTTGCCCCTCTTGTGCTACCTACTGAAATGAATTTCCAATTTCACTTAATTTCCAATTTCTCTGTAAGGTTTCAAAATGTCTACCATTCATTCTATTTTAGATAGGCTTCCTGAAAATTAACTCGTACCTTACAATTTTAGTCACTTTGGTTTTTCTTAGGGTACAAATTGAAGATGTTAACTGTTTATTCATAACGTGAGAGACTTTGAGAAACTAGAGGCTGGGGAAATCTCCACTGCTGCTTTCTTATACATCTGATGCACAAAAATAGTTATGAAGGGAATTAAAGAGTTAACCAACACAAACCCAAAGACCCAAGTGAATAGGTATTGATCCTTGATGAGGTCGATCCAGTAATACCAAAAAATAAAATAAAATAACCCAAGCTCACTGCCATGGAGCCAATGCAGAACAGGGTTTAGAGCTACCTAAACACTAGCCTGTTGACATTAGGACCCCCCATGGCACCAGGCACTTGTCTTCAAACCTCATTTGTTTTTAAGTAGGTAAATCTACAAACAGGATCCCTCAGCTCTTACATTTCCATTACGGTCCGTGATGACTAGGATGCAGAAAGAAATGGCGCACTCTCATGTCTTTCTCTTCTCGCAAGTTGCAACAGGAACTTCTAGCCATAAAACAGCAGCAAGAACGCCTAGAAAAGCAGCAGAAACTGGAGCAGCAGAAGCAAGAACAGGAAGTCGAGAGGCATCGGCGCGAACAGCAGCTTCCTCCTCTCAGAGGCAAAGACAGAGGACGAGAAAGTAAGAGGCACCAGGGTAAAGGACAGAGCCCCTTCCCTCATCGTTACTGCTCTAAGTCGTTCACAAAGAAGCCTGCATTAGACCTGTCAGAGTGTCTGTGTTTAATTGGCAGACCAAAGAGCACATTCTACACCTCATGGTAACGTTTTGCCATGTACCTGTCAGCATTCTTTATTCAGTCTGCGGGGCATCTCACATAAAACATTTGTTTTGCGAAGATGCCAATTTCTCTTGTCCCAAGCCTTAAACATAATTTTATATCACAGCCATTCTATTTAACAGTACAGCTATTTCCACATTGTCTCCGTACTTCCACAGTCTGGCTCAACTAACAAGTGCTCAGGAAGTCAAGCCTTGCCACCACTTAATGTCCAAGTAGGGAGGCTTCGGGGAGATTTAAGGCAGAGCACTTGCAAGAGAACTATCCACAAGAGGGAGACAGATCCAAATAATTTCCCTCTGTGAGGTCAGTTCAAAATCAGGTCGTGGCAAGGTTGCAAATGTGGTGACTTGGACTGAAATTGTCAGCAATATTTATTTGTTTAATGCTCAAAGGGATTTATAAAAGTACGGCTTTCAAACTGGCAATTCAGAAAAGACCATTTTAATGTGCTTAAGGGACTTATATAGTCTGTTGTTGTT